TGGGAGCGCAGCGCGGGGCTGCGGGCACAGGCCTGCGGGAGGGGGCTGCGGACTCCCGGGCCCAGCGCTCCAGTCCGTTTTTTGCTGCGGATCCCGGGAAGGGGGGCTGGCTCGGGGGTGGGACTGGGAAGGGGGGATTCCCTCCCTCGTGCGAGCGGAGGACCGGCCCCTCTCCCGGCAGCGAGCTTCAGCCCCGCGGAGGCGCGACGGAGAGCACCGCGAGCGGGGTGCAGAGCCCGGCCGGCCGGCCCCAGGCGGGCATTGCGACTGGAGTGCTGCGGCCCGCGAGGGCAAGACCCCCGCCGCCCGCGAGCACCAATGCGCCGGGTGGGGCGCGGGCCCCGGAGGGCGTAAGCCGTCTGCAGATTGAGCAACTGGGGAGCGGGCGGAGCGCAGGCAAGCCGGGTGCCCAGCACAGTCCCGCCGCGGGCGCGTGAGCGGGCCTCGCCCTCGCCCCTCCCGGCCTGCCGGCGGGCAGCACCAAGGTAAGTCCCCACTGGGCGCCCCCTTTCTGGGACCTGGGGTGCCTGGGGCCCTCCCGTCGGGGTTTGGTAGAGCTCGGTGCGGGGACAGACGGCGAGATGAGGGAGGGTCCCACTGCTCCCGGGTCCTCCTGCGCAGGTCCTGTGGCTCCCATCATCTCTAACACCACCGGGCATCTCCCTCCCCATCGGTCCCCGGCGATCATCTTCGCTCAAGGCTCTGAACACCCCAAACCCACCAGCCTATTTCACCTCCTCCCACTTCCAGCAGTTCCTGGACCCACAGCCTCAGCTTGTCCCCGGTCCCAGGGGCCCTGGTTCCCGCTGCACCCCGCAGCCGGTCCGGTCCGACGTGGCAGGAGGCGTGCGCGGTGGCCCCGGGTGCGCGGCGAGGTGGCGCGGCTCTCGGGCGGTGGCTTGGGGCGCTTGGGAACGGGTGGCACCGCAGCCGTGGGGGTCCTGCTGGCAGGGGCTCCCAGACTAGTCTTGGGGAACAAGGACGACTTCTGGGTGTGGACGCTTGGGGGCCTGGGGGGCTCTGGGTCCACTCCTCCTCACTCCCATGGCACCTGTTGGCCTCCTCTGGGATGGTGGAAAGGCAAGAATCTGTGCGCTCTGGGTGTGACAGAGGGGAGGGAAGAAGCCTTTCTCCGCTGCCCTTGGTGTGGGGGGCAGGGGCGCCCCCGCACCTGGTTCGACTCCAGCGGAGGCGCTAATCCAGGCAGGTCAGGCGGGCACATACTTGATCCCGCCCCCCGCCCGCCAGCTCGGGCGGCCAAAGCTCTCCAGCCCCTAGCGGGTCCGGGAAGAGCTAATGAGAAATTATCGGGATAGTTTACATTTTTGGGTCCGTATCCGGCCCCGGATGGAATACCAATTTATCCTGATAGAGTTACGAGCCAGAAGGTGAAAGTTATCCCAGCCCTTGGCTGAGGCTGAGGCGCCGCCCTCAGCTGCGCCCCTAGCTGTGCTGGGTGCCCATCGTGTGCCCTCCCTTCTCGCGACCACCTAAGCACGTGAGGCCTGCCCCTTCCTCTCCCTCCGAGCTCTGTCTCTCCAGAAACCACCTCCCACGGCCTTTTCACTTAGGCCATGAGTCCTCCCCTCCACCTCTTCTCCCCTCCCCTGCCCGTTGCCCCTTGCTCAGCCCCCCCCCCCATATCCAGTCCTGGGGAGCAAAGCCACAAGCCACTGTGTAAGCTGAGGACCGAGTGAATGAGGGCCCAGTGTGGCGGTGGGTGTCAGTCATCTAACGAGTCTGAGTGTGACTCTTTCCTCTTTTCCTCCCATCGTTACCCAGCAGCCTTGGGCACAGCCCAAGTGTCCACTCCTGATGCGCAGTCGGTTATGGGCCTCCCGAAACGAGCCACCTGTATAGTCCAAGGCCCCAAGGAAATCAGATAGGAAGCAATAGAAATGAGGCAAGCAATTTGAAAGAGAAGCCTCAGCTCTCTGCAGCCCTATGTGGGATCAGGGTGGGGATGGAGTGAGGATTCATCTCTGGAGGTGGCCTTGTGGCCTCAGAGGTTTGGTACTATGAATGGCCTTTAAGACCAGATTTCCCATAAAATCCTGAATTTTAAACTTTTCTTTCTTTAAAAAAATTTTTTTTGGAAGATCAGGCAGTACTGGACCATTTCTTAAAAATCCTACCCACCAGCAGTCAGTTGGAGTTGAACAGCAGATGCCCTGTTTAGATGGGTATTTGCTTTCCAGTTTGCCCCTGCCGTGTCCAGCTTCACACAGGTGTGGTGTTTGCACCCCTGGTGGAGATGATCCTTGAAGTCATTTTCAGGGTTGATTTTATCTATAGAATAATATTTTTGTCTCTGATAATGTTTAACACTCTTCCCGTCTCAGGGACAGGGAGGCCTGTGTCTTTTGTGCTGGAAAAACTCCACTCTGGATCCTCCTTTCTCTCTTGAAGCTGAAAGAAAGGAGATTGTGGTTCCTTGGAGCTTCAGGTGGGAGCGGGTGAGAAGGTCTTTGCTGGCAAGGACTGGTGGACGTGAGCAATGCTGACCGCTAAGAACTGGGAGAATTTCCGAGCGGGGATCCGGAGGGGAAGGGAGAAAGTGGAACTGACATTTGCTGAGCACTAGCTCCGATGTGCCAGGCACCATGCCCAATGGACACGAGGGTGGTTAAGATGAATAGGAAAACTTTTCTGCCCCAAGGCCCCCCGGAAACTGGTCACACGATGAGACCAAACTCTCATACATAGTCCCAGGACTTACCTGCTTTGCCTGACAGTTTGTGCTCTCCACTGTTGGTCGAATGTAAGGACTCAGAGCCCTGAGGATGTATCTTGCAGGGGCCTCTAAGTTTCAGGTTGAGAAATGCTGCATTTAAAGGCAAACACTGTCATTCTGGGGGAGCACTTGGATGGCAAGGCAGTCAGCCTTTTGGTATAAAGTTTGGCTTCCCATATGTAACAATAAATGCAAACATGGAGTGTGCATAACCATTCTCACTTTCAAGGTTAATAATCAGGTGATACAGAAAATGTTTGTATTGCCTTTAGAGAACTGTTGGAATGTACACACAAAATGAAGCCTTGGTCGTAGAAAATCCAGCTAATAGGTAGCAGAGCCAGCCTTCAAAGCCAGGCAGTCTCTGAGGTTTGTGCCCTTAACTGGAATGCAGCATGGACCTCTCAGGCTGTATCTTTGGGGCTGTATCTTTTAGGCTAGACGTCCATTCGTGGGTGATGGAAGTGTGGGGCCAGGGAGGATGGGAAACTTTGGCAGGTCATGAAGGGAGGACTGGAGGGATGTATAGGGGCTGGCAGCTGATGGGGCATTTGGGGGTAGCTGGGGGCATCTCCGCTGGCTCCAGCAACAGCACCAGGTGGGATCCATCAGCCTCGTGTAAACACTTCTCACAGGCAGCTTAACCACTTGAGTGTGTCTGGCCTTCAAAGCCAGTGGGAGAGGCTGAGGAGGAGGTGCTGAGCTCTCCTGTGGGATAATGATTTATCTCCCCTGCAGGTGGGCTTGACTGGGGCCCAGGCTGGGAGGTGAGGGGCTCAGCTGAGCTTTGAGGAGTCTAGAGGGGAAAGAATTGGGACCAGAGTGGGTGAGGCACCTCAATGATGACAGCATTTCAGATTTCACCTTTATAAACTATACCTTATCTGACTCAGAGTAATTCTATGAAATTGGCATATTTACACCTATTTTATAAATGAGGACACGGAGGCTCAAAGAGGTTAAATGGCATAGTCAAAGTCACATGTCCAGTTGGTACTTCCCTGTGGGTATAGAGGGGATGTTTTGTTTTGTTTTGTTTTGTTTTATTGAGGGTGTAGGTGCTGTCCTGCAGACATGAAGGCATGCTACTTGCCCATGGGGCTGCCTTCTGTACCTGTGTGGGTCTGGAGATGTGTCAAAGCACGTGGGATGATGCATGGGTCCTTAGGCTGCTGGTGTAAAGGTACATTGGAGGTTTCAGAGCATAAGTATGTGGCCCTGTGAGTTTGAATGAATATAAAATGGAGTTTTCATCCTCCAGCTGCAGGTTGGGCTCCAAGGCTCAGATATCCAGCTTCCCAGACACATCTCATCAGGGGAGGGACCAACTCCCGCTGTCCCCATCATCCTGGCCAGTGGGTCCAGAAACCTGGCTCTCGGTCCAGAGACCTGGCTCTCGCTGGGCTGGGGGATTATCCCCATTCTCTGTGTCTCTGGCCAGGGCGGGCATCGCTGCCTCTTTTATCCTCTCACAAAGGCCCGGCCCGCCAGGCCTGCTGTGTCAGAGTTTCTGTGGCTGGGGAAGCCTTACTGCCTTTACTCCAGCCAAGCCCAGAGGGCCAGGCAGAGTCTGCCAGCTTGCTGGGGACCACTGCTCTAGCTCCAGGACAGGTGAAAGAAGGGAGGTAACTTCAAGAAGGCCAGGGAAAGCACCTCTTGAAGGGACTTCCAGTTAGAACTGGCCGATATTATGCAGAGGTCAGGCCAGCTGGTTCTTATTGAGAACTGACCAGTGATTCCCCAAGTTGCGATTTGAACATTCACTGTGTTGAGCTCGTCAGACAGACGGTCAACTCCAGTCCCAGGTCAGGGAATTTTGCCCTATAGGAAAAGGATTAGATTTCTTCTTGCAAGGGTACCAGGTGGGTAACTTGTCATGTCCAGACATTGAGTTCTTATGCTCTCCAGAGAAGAAGACCTCAATGGGAGACACCCTGTCAACAAAGAATTAACCCTTCTCCCTATTCCTCCCACAGATTGCCTTTTGGAGTTGGTGGCTGCTGAAGTGACAAGACACCCACCCATATAACACCCTGAGGTGCCTTAAAGGAAAGCTCTGCAGACCTGCCTATGGGCTGATGGCAAACTGGGCTCCCCCACACCCTCTTTGTCCCCAGCTGAGATTATGGTGGATTTGGGATCTGGCCCAGGCTTGGGCCTCCTGCTGCTGACCCAGCCCCGGAGGCGTTAGCGAGAGCCAGGCGCCACCATCCACCCCCCCCAGAGACCACCCCTCCTCCCAGGGGACCGGAGCTGGCAAGTGACTATGCGGCTTGGGCTGTGTGTGGTGGCCCTCGTTCTGAGCTGGATGCACCTCACCGCCAGCAGCCGGGGGATCAAGGGGAAGAGACAGAGGCGGAGTAAGTAACAGGGATGGGGCTGGATGAGGGCTGACTCTGGGGTAAGAGGGGCAGCCCTGGGACCAGAGGGGCTGTGGGTATTATTTGGAGATAACCAGCTACAAATTTCTACTTTGTCTGTTAACAGCTTGGTAGATAACTCAATGGATTATCCTGTTTGTGGATGATCCAGTGTGTGGATTGATGTGTTGAGGTTACCTCATTTTGTGTTTTCCTCTTTGCCAGTGCTCTGCTTTCTCAATTAGCCCTTCCCTTGTGAGAATCCACTTGTGGGTTATGCCCTTTGACATAATACCATGTCGTGTGGTATCCATGGTGATGCTTGCTGCTGATCCCCTCACCCAGCATTATCATTTTCCTCCTTACACTATCTGTGGGGTTCAGGGCTCCTTCCGTTTAGTGACAGCTGAAGAACAGCCCTCAACCCTCTGGGTCAGGAACTCTGCACCATTGAGCAGTGGGCAATGAGACCTTCCCCACACAGATCATGGGGCCGGAACAGTAGAGCGGGCAGGCTTGGGAACTGTCCACTCATGTGGTATTGAAACGATGCCCGATGCCCGGTGAGATCCTGGGAGCTGCCATGGGGGTGGGCGGAGGCAAGTGGGCTGGGGTCTGGCCCTCTCATCCTTCAAACCAGACTGTCTTCATGTTACCTGCTTTTGGTATTGAGCTTTTTCTGAGTAAGTTACCCGGCAAGAAAGGGTTCTCACAACTTTAAGAGAGAAAAAAAATTCCTAGACATGGGTTTGGATTTATGGCAGGCCCATCCCCATGAGTCTGTCATAGTGTTCCTTGCCAGAGCAAATTGTAACTTCAAACCATTGCCTGGCCTCATAGGTTGCAGGCACTGAAGTAGGTGCACAGTGGGAAAAGACATCCTATCATTGTACAGGGAGCTCTGGTGGCATAGTCTATAGGGTGTTGTAGTGCTAATCCAAAGGCAGCATCTTTCTAGTGGTTCGAATCCACCAGCTGCACCTTAGGAAGATGAGCAATCTCCTCCCGTGCAATTTACAGCCTCTGAAAACCTACTGGGGGGTCAGCTCTGAGTTGGTCCTGACACAACATTAATAAGAGAGATAGACCGAGGCAAAGAAAGTGGGACAAAATAAACGTAAGGATACACAGCGGTATTAGAACCCAAAACTTAGGAAGCTCTGGTGGCCTCGTGGCAAAAAACTCTACAGCCATCCCAAAGACATGTGGTTCGAATCCACCAGATGCTGTGCTGGAGAAGGAGGGGCAATCTCCTCCTGTGCCAGTTGGATCCGATTTGACAATACACAACAAGGGAGGGAAATATCACCCAAGACTTCTCATTCCTGTGAGCCTAGTTTTATTGCAAAGAGAGCTTGACAGTGTTCAAGATGAACCAGTCCACACCAGTTTCTCATCCCCAGACCGTTTCCCATCCCACACAATATGCCATGGAGGCATTCCTGACATGAGACCATCTCAACTCAAGCTCAAAGGCTTCATTGGCAATACTTCCAGGCCCATCCGCTGTAGTGAAATTGGCCAGCACACTGAATGCACCATGTTGGGGAGTTGACTGGGAGCCTGACATGAGGCTTTATCTCTCCCAGCGTTGCCTAGAAAAAGATGGCACTCTCACAGTCAGGAAGTTCTTCCTTAAGTCTAGACTAACTACCTCTTGCTTCATCTTTTAGGTCATTCTCTTAAGGCCTACTGGTAAGAGTTGAAAGCCAGTGAGGTCTGGTTGGGTCCCCAGTGGAGTGGCCAAAGGCACATCTCAGCCAGGAGAGAGGCTCAGAGAATTGGTGAAGCTGAAAATCCCTAGCTTACCAAACAATTAGCAATGGTTAGGTTTAATCAGTTGCAAGTTCTTTCTTTTCCTCCCTCCTCAGCTCATCTACTGTGGCCAGAAGTTAGGACTTTATATGCCAGATGTGGTTTAGTGGTCTGTGACCAGTCTTTCCATTCCTGAGATGAAAGAAAGAATGAGGGGAGAGAGAGAGAGAGAACGATACAGAGAAGAGCCACTCACTCACGCTCACGTAGGCACGAACCCAGAGCTCAGAGGACCCAGGCTCAGATCTGCTGTACAAAAAAACAAAGCGTGAGAGTAGCTGCCAGAAAGGGCCTTGGTCCAACCAGGCCACCGAAGTAGCCAATCTGATGGGTCACATCCAGCAGTCTCTGCTGCACATCACCCTTCAGCATTGTGAGCAGCAGCAGTCCTTCCTAATGAGGTTTGGGGAGGGGATGCGGTTAGCATCCAATAGGGAACGGCTCAGGGAGGGACTGAGGATGTATGCTCAGAGGCTATACTATCTAGATATCCATCAGGCTAAGCCTAAACATAAAGCCAGGAGCCTAACTGTGCAAGAACATAGTAAAGCTTACAACAGATAACTAAGTGTGCATATACATATGAATACATATGGATATGGACTGAAGCTTAATGTCAAGAAGACAAAGATTCTCACCACTGGGCCAATAGGTGGAGCTGATAGATGGGCCAATAGATGACCATGATGGAGAAGAGATTGAGGTTGTTAACAATCACATCTTGCTCAGCTCCACAATCAACATTCTTATTACTAGCAGGCAGGAAAGCAAAAGACAAATTGCGTTGGGAAAATCTGTTGTCAAGAGACCTCTCCAGAGTGCTGAAGAGCAACAGTGTCAGTCTAGAGACTAAGGTGTGCCGAATGCAGGCCATGGTCTTCATAATTACTTCACCTTTGGAGAGTTGGAAAGTGACTAAAGGTGACAGAAGAAGAATCAATGCCTTTGAGTTGTGGTGCAGGAGAAGAGTCTTGAACTTACCATGGACCGCCAAGAAAACAAATAGGTTTGTCTTAGAGATGATGAAACCAAGTTTCTCCTCGGAGGCTAGGGTTTTGAAGCACTATCTCACATACTTTGGGCACGTGGCCAGGAGGGGCTGAACCTTGGAGAAGGACATCATGCTCAGAAGGAGGGTGGAGGTACAGTGCAGGAGAGGAAGACCCTGGATGAGATGGATTGATACGGTGACTAGAGCAATGGGGGTTAGTGTGTTGGAGTCAGTGAGACTGGCTCAGGACAGGGCAGGGTTCAGAGCTGCTGTACATAGGGTCTCTGTGGGTTACAGGCAACTCGGCGGCACATTAACAACAACAACAATGCGTACATGTTGTGTCTCATTAAGTTGATTCTAATTCAGCAATCTTAGAAGACAGAGTAGAACTGTTCAATTGACTTTCTTAGACGATGATATTTACAGGAGCAGATCACGAGGCCTTTTCACTCTAGTCTGGGTACCGAGCTCAAATTGCTAACATTCTGGTTAGCAGCAAAGTGCTTTTCATTGTGTGTGAGGGAGGGTTTACATGCGCATGTATGTGCTTTCTCGTTTGTGTGTGTGTGTGTGTGTGTGTGAAAATCTTTGTAAACCATCAAGCTCTCTGTAGCTGCAGGGGTTTGTATTGCTGCTGTATAAACACTGTGTGAACCATTTTGCCCCGGGCCTTCTAGGGGAGCGGTGAAGGGAAGCGAGGATGGCGACACCTGTGGTGGCTGCTTTGCCAGCCACTCACTCTCTCTTCATCCGAAAGGGCTGGATGAGCAGAGGCACAGATGGGCCTGCGGGGGTCAGGTGGGCTGTGAGACTCAGGCCTGCATCCTCCTGGCGCTGCCAACATGGCTGTGACCTGCGCCCTGCACGCTCAGAAACGGCTGGCCTCAGGGTCCCTCCCTTCCCTGCATGGACAGGAGAAGTTGAGCTAAGAATGCCTTATTTAGCTGTGAGCTGTGAACCCTGGCAAAGAGTTCTTCTGTGTTCATTAAGGGCTTGCTCCCTCTCTGAGCCCCACTCCTCACTCCTGCTCACCAAGCCCTCATGCACTCATGAGGGTCTTTCCCCACCTAGGTCCCTGCCCCTCACTGAAGTCTCCTTCATTCAGCATCCCCCTACAGAGACCTTCTGCCTGATTGCTGGGCTCCCTTTCTCTCCCCTCCCCTGTCCCTCACTTCTTCACTGAGCCTTGGCTCCCCAGAAGCCCATTGTTCTGCTCTTCTGCACTGACCACCATGGCAGTCTCTGCCCTCCTGACTCATTCCTCAGACCACTGAATGGTCGTGGAGACCCCACAGAGCCTGGCCTTGCACCCCAGAGATGAGTCTTGGGGAAATGGCAGTAGAGAGGGGCAAGAGGCCACTTCAATGAAGTGTGATAAATGTGAGTGCCCAAGGGAGTGGTTACCGAGTTGTACTTCAAAGGGCGTGTGGGTGAGCTCCAAGCAAGGTGGAAGGAGGTGGCTGTGAAGGAAGGACATTCCAGGCATGTCCAAAGTGATGGGGTTTGAAAGAGGAATGGCATGTGCATTCAGAAAACTGGGTACAATCAGGAGTTACTGGAAGAATGATTTATGAATGGGGCTTGGTGGGGGGGAGGCTCTGGGACTCTAATTGGAGCAGCTGTTTTATATATGAGGGATCTTTTCTGCTGTAATGAAAGGTTCTGCGGCTGAAACAAAAAAACCATGAGAATGTCCTGGGGCTGAGGGAATGGTCCGGGGGAGAGTGAAGGAGTTAGTGCTACAGTAGGGTGTTACGGTCAGAGCATCAAAGACTATCAATATTTGATGGACTGAAAGGTTTGGACTTGACCCAACTTGATCTGTGGGATTAAGACCTGCTGAGAAGTTTTAACCAGGCTAGTAACAGGCTCTGACCTCAAGGAATGAAGGCAGGAGACAAATAGGATAGTTGAGCCCAGGTGAATGAGAAGAAAATTAATGTCTCTGTTGAGCTCAGGTGGTGGTGGTAGTTAAGTGGTAGAAGTCCTCTAGAGACCTGGGTTCGATTCCCAGTGAATGTACCTGATGTGTCGCTATTACTCATCTGTCTATGAAGACTTGTATTGCCACAATGTTGGGCAGATTTCAGTGGGTCTTTCACACTCAGACTAGCAAGAAAAGCCTGGAAAATTATTTCCAAAATATCAGTGTTCCAGTTTGCACAGAATGGACAGCATCTAACAATACCAA